GAATATCCATAGCTGGATTTATTAATTTCTAACTTAATTCATATAAAATATAACTAATAATACGGAAAGAAACATTAACCCTTATACATATTTTGAAACCATGACATCTGTCAAATATTCCACCTCATACCGCGCGTCGCACAAGTTTCACAACTCCAGTGAAGTAGATGTCAACGTATAAAAATTAATTTTCACTCGAAATATTAAAAATCGATTCCGAAATATGACTTTACATGAAAATAAAACGTAGACGCCACGACCAAATTATTGTAAATTTCCTTTTTGATTATGATTTGCATCCATTAATTCTAAGGCACGTCAGTTTTATTTTAATTAGCTAATGTTCCGAGGAACATTGAACACTAATATTTCAATTTAGTTAACTTTTAAATTAAACTGAAAACTACGCATGGGTATAACAGTTAAAATTATTTTAAACTACCACGAATTCGCGAATTTTACATGATTCACGATGAAAAAAAAGATACCTGAATTTTCCGCCAAGACGACCATTTTAAAATTAATTTGCTAAAAATTTAAACTCTTCTTTTAAATTAAGGGCATCGTTATTTCTCAATTGTTAAATTACCTGTTACAAAAAGGTGGCGTACATATTTGACTATAATTGCAAAGTATGACTCAAACGAACTAGTAAAAACGAATAAAACATTGCTGTAACATAAGATAAAAAGATAATGGTTATAAGTTATAACTTAACCAAATCCCGTTGTGGAGGCAAAAAATTTAATCGTTTTGTACTGTTTAATTTTTTTTTTTTGGGTGGCCGAACACTTGAAATACACATTGAAGATAAAATGATTGAACTATCAGTCATGTTATACTTTTATAAAAAATAAAAAGTGTAAACATTTTTATAAAATTCAACCTCGGCAAAGACAACGTGAACATACATCACAAGAAATTTTTTTCGATCAATACACAAAATTTTAAAATAGTGGTTTTAAACGATTACACAACACAGTACACCACGATAAAATCAAAATAATATCACACATTTATGAAAAAGAAAATTAAATCACTATTCGTTTTCCCGCTAAAACTGTTATTATCCTAAAAATCACGCGGGACAACTGACGCGTTCGATTTCAGTTGCCGGACTCATTTCAATAATTAAACCTTATCTCAAAATGTTAGTTAGTATAGACTGTTTATTAAATAAACGATAGACGTGAGTCGGGAGCCATAGATTAGATTATTTCTAAATTAAACGTAATACTACATTATACATATTAATTAAAATACGATTTATTTTAATACAAAAATATTTTATGCATAGAAGAACCACGATGAAGCTATATTATGGGTATAGGTTGTAGCACGTATGGATCGGCTCGACCGGGGAAGGACAACGCCCTTAGAGAATACCAGCGTAAAATAGAAGCTTATTGCTGCTGAGTTTCGTATGATGAGTGTAGAGAACCGGAGACCCTTTTCACTAGAAATGAGGCATTAAATCTTTGTCCTCGGGGTGACAATCTGCATTTTGATTCTTAATCAAAGACACATGTAGATGTCTATGGGCCACAGCATCCACTTACCATCACAGTATGCTAGTTTGTCATGTTTATGCTATAAAAACTAGTGAAATAAATAATAACGAAAATTTTGCTTTATTATTGAACAATTTACTTTATTGAAGAAAATTGTCGACATCCTTTACCATTAAATTAGTGATGAAAAACTACGTAGAACGGCCGCCATCTTTAAACCATTGTAATTGTGTGGGTTTAGTAAAAATGGAGCTTATCAAACCTGATCATTTTTATTACATTTTTTTATCGTTTGAACGTATAATGGCAGCGTGAGAGATGCATTAACCGTATCGCCTCATCTATGGCAGACAACTATGGCAAATGAAAAAAAAAACTCATGCTTTCCAATGGAAATATGACCATATATAATCTTATACGAGTTCAAATAATAAAATTGGCGCAACAGAGCAGTGTCAAACGTGTTAGTCTTAGAGTTACATAAGTGAGCTTCTATGGCTAAGGCGCAAAATATTTAGTACTCCAAACGTCAATATTCTGCCAATCCTCCCCAATATAGGAAATTGGCATATCCAGCAACGGATATTTTTATAGGAGAGGGGGCAAACGAGTGTACGGCTCACCTGATGTTAAGTGATTACCGCCACCCTTGAACCACTGCAACACCAGGGGCATTGCAGATGCGTTGCAGGCCTTTTGAAAAGGAGTAGGCTCTTTTCTTGTAGGTCCCTAAGTCGTATCGGTCCGGAAAAATCTCCGGTGGTAGTCGATTCCACAAGGAAGTTGTGAAGGAGAAAATCTTTTAAGCACGTGGACCGCCAGATATCCAGATGGTATAGATGGTATCACAAGTTTTGTCGTTTTTTTTTTATAGGATAGGGTGACAAACGAGCACACAGTCCACCTGATGGTAAGTGGTTGCTGTGGCCCATAGACATCTACATCTATCCTCGATTACGAATCAAAATGCAGATGCGTTGTCACCCGTGAGGACTAAGATGGAATGCCTCGTTTCCAGTAAAAAGGGTCTCCGGTTCTCTACACTCACCATACGAAATACAGCAGAATTAAGCTACTATTTCACGCTGGTATTCTGTGAGAGCGTGGTCCTTCCCCGGTCGAGCCGACCCATTCGTGCTACAACTATAGGTACTACTAATATAACTGCAGCATGGCTCTACCACGTATAAACCACGTCGTTATGTGCGACGTTGAAATTGTGCGGCTGGAATTAGTCCGAACAGTTCCTCAGAGCACTCGCCGACTGTTAAGACTGTTAAGGGCTCACAAGGTTACAGCTTAATAAAGTCTACTGCTGAACATAGGCCTCCACCATAGACTGCCTCATAAAGGGGAATATTTGCCAGAGTTGCCACTTTTAGCAAGCGGATATGAAACCACAATTTTTAATTTTTTATCTTTATTAAAGAGTTTCAACTCGGTTGGGCAGCGTTCGGGAAATTACGACACATCTTCTCGTCAGGTATACCTCAATCTCTAAAAACTAGATTGTACAACCAGTGCGTGTTGCCAGTGATGACTTACGGATCTGAGACGTGGTCCTTCACTGCTGGCCGTATGAGGACGCTCAAGATCGCTCAGCGGGCTATGGAGAGGGCTATGCTCGGAGTTTCTCTGCGTGATAGACTCAGAAATGAGTATATCCGCAGTAAAACCAGAGTGACCGACATAGCCCAACGGATTAGTAAGCTGAAGTGGCAATGGCCCGGCCATATAGCTCGAAGAACCGATAACCGATGGGGAAGAAAGGTTCTCGAGTGGCAGCCTCGTACCGGTAGGCGTAGTGTAGGGCGACCCCCCCACTAGATGGAGTGACGACCTGCTAAGATATGCAGGAAGTCGATGGATGCAGGTGGCTCAGGACCGTGCTTTGTGGCATTACTTGGGGGAGGCCTATGTTCAGCAGTGGACTTGTGAAGGGCTGTAATGATGATGATGATTAAAGAGTTGCTTCTGCCCGTTTCCTGATTTGTTTCCCTATCTAGCCTCTCACGACACCCACGGGATGATATGGGATAGTGGATATTCTTACACAGCCACTTCACTACTCAAACAAACTCATAAGGAAATAAAAATAATATCTTACATCAACACATTAATATAATATTTAGGAATGTATACAATGCAGTGTTATCGTTTTTGTAGTGGGGAGATAACCTCTAGAACACGCTCTTTGTGACGTCACGCTTCCTTGTTTTGTAGATAGTGAAGTCAAACTAATAAGTCACTGTCAAGCGATGACGGTATCCCATTTCACAACGTACGAGTATAACGTAACAGTAGTTGCGCAGAACTTTATTATAGTGTCACAGTTATACGCCAAAACACAGCTACTCACTTGCCCAAACTTTTGAACAAAAAAAAGATTAAAAAAAAGTCTACTAAAAAGAGAAAAAATATAGCCTATGTCAGTCCCATAATTAAGACTAATTTAACGACTTATCATATGTTAAAATCCATCAAACCGTTTAAGCTGCAGAGCGTGCCAGAGAAATAGAGATACATCATTCGAAAAACATTACCTTACTTCTGAGGCAGTCGGATAAAAAAGAAGAGGTCCTCAATTGGACTGAAGCTTCCCTTTTTTATATGTGTGTTACAGTAAAGACAGTTTCTAGAAGGTTTTCTCGAAGAAAAGAGCAAAAATGTTTAAAATGATTGGAAGTTTCATCACCATCGCCCACCGAAAGGCATTTTTATTGTGTTCAATAAGGTCGCATGCAGCGTTGTCATTTATTACACTAAGGCCCCGTTTACATTCTGAGAAGTGACAAGTGCGAGTGGCAAGTGCGAGTGGCAAGTGCGAGTGGCAATTGAGAAGTGGCAAGTAAGAAGTGCCAAGTGCGTATTTTATTCCCACTTATCACTTGTCACTGCCTGCTTACACGCACTAAGCACTTGTCATTTGTCAGTTGCACTTGCCACTCGCACTTGTCACTTCTCTAAATGTAAACCGCGCCTAAGGACTGATTTTTCCATCCTTAGATAAAAGATATGCATAGAATAAAATATGTACAGTATAAACAAATACAACATAAATAAACAAGTAAATATTTTTTTTTTCAAATTTTGCACCACCTTTTTTAATATATTCTTGTATTGTCATCCGAATTTAAGCCGTATTCAAAATTTCAAGTTTCCAGCTCATGGGGAAGTTAGTTTAAAACCAATTATTTAATTCCGTCCGGAACAACGACAGACGCTGTGGCCCATAGACACCTACATTTATATTCGATTAAGAATTAAAATGCACATGCGTTTTCACTCGTGAGGATTAAGATTTATTAAGCTGCCATTTTACGCTGGTATTCCGTGAGAGCGTGGTCCTACTCCGGTCGGGTCGACCCATTCGTGTTACAACCATAAGATAACCGCAGCGTGGTTTTACCACGTTGCAGTAAATATTCGCGCAAATATGAGAAATTATTCCCGCCAAAAGTCATAGGATCAATAAATTTCTGTTCGCAGATGGGCTAAGTCTTCGCATCATCGGTCCAGTGGCGAGTGTTCGCGAGTCATCGCTGGTTGACGAGTATGGCACGGAACTGGCTAAGCTACCATTTACGTAAGTATCTAAAGCGAGTCTAGTTGTAACATTTCATATGGATTCACGTAAATACATCTACATCTACTAATTCTGAAAATATAATATACCTCTTCGAAAGAATGAAAACTTACAGGCCACCTGATGTAAGAGGCTACAGATGTCACCTATGAGGACCAAGTTAAAATGCCTCATAGCCCGTGATTATACATTATACATACATAAACACTCACGCCTGTAACCTAGAGGGGTAGACAGATACTACAGACTTTCATTTGGCACGATCCTGGCACACCTCTCTCGGATTCTCGAACTCCAAATATATAATATATAATAAAATACCTCAGTCATACTATTTTATCATCACCATTGTAACAATAATTAAAGCCTATCATAAGTCCAATTATATCATAGGCATAATAATTATACAATCATAAGATATCATTATTAATTAACAAAAGTACCTACGTACTCGTACCTACGCATACATGCTCGTCTGTTAGGGATACTCCTAATTCGGCCCATTTTCAATATATCGCCAATTTGGTCGATAAACTTTCACCTAGGACGTCCCTTTCCGATTCTTCCATTCACTTCTGCAACATAAACTCTTTCCTCATTCATTCTTTCTACATGACCAAACCACCTTTGATTATACTTGCTCTCAGTACCCTTCAGACAGGTCAAAGCAGTTCAGGCACTAATATTAGACGGCATAGGTAAGATAGTGGTATGGTAGTAAATACCCCGGCGGACTTCTTGCCAAAAAAAAAATAGATCTACCAACTATTTTACACATCGCACACAAAGCACTACATTTTTTTTTATAGGATAAGGTGACAAACGAGCACACAGTCCACCTGATGATAAGTGGTTGCTGTGGCCCATAGACATCTACATCTATCCTCGATTACAAATCATAATGCAGATGCGTTGTCACCCGTGAGGACTAAGATAAAATGCCTGGTGTCCAGTAACTATACTACTAATATAACTGCAGCATGGCTCTACCACGTCTTCTTCTACTTCTAGCCAAAAAAAAACAGATCTACCACGTAACTTTACACATCGCACAAAAAGCACTACATGTGTGCAATGTGAAACGAAATTACAGTTCGACAATAATTCTTATTATGCGCGCATATTATCTTTGACTTCTCACACACATATCAAAGCGGTAACGAATTTGCAATGCATTAAATTTAGCGCCTCTAGTGCTATATCTAATGATTTATTGTCTAGAAGTAGAAAGCGAATTACAACCGCTGCTGTGTCAGCAACAGCGTATATAGAAAACATACTATATACCTACCCACATAAATAGTTCAGAAATGCTATCTCTGTTCATCTCGGCCTGCAAGGAGAATAAGAATATTGAAGTAATATAAAAATATATATATATATATATATATATATATAAACACTCACTCCTGTCACCCAGAGGGGTAAGCAGAGACTACAGACTTTCATTTAGCACGATCCTGACATACCTCTCTCGCCTCTTCAACATCCATATACCTACGCATACATGCTCGTCGATTAAGCGTACTCTTAATTTGGTCCATTTTTAATATATCACCAATTTGGTCAACAATTTTCGCTTAGGGCGTCCCTTACCGACTTTTCCATTCACTTCTGCAACACTTGATTCACAACAACGCGCCCGCGGAGGAGCACCCCCCTTCCCCCCCCCCTCCTTTTATATATTTGCTTTGTCAGTCTTTCCCCATTCATTCTTTCTACATGACCAAACCACTCATTGACTCCATTCACACCACTAAAGCATTCCTTTCTTAATCCTGGTCACCGCATCATCTTGCAAAATCACACTTTTCTTTTATCACACAGTTTCTCACCCTGTCACTCTGATTCAGCCGTAACATACTCCTTACCGACCGCATTTCTATTGCATTTATTCTACACTCGTGCTTCTTCTGCCACACCCAACTTTCACTACCATACGTTAAAGTAGGGACTAATACAGTATTGTGGATTGCCATAGGTGCCTTTTTTGTCACATTCTGACTTTTCACAATAGAGTGTAGAGCCCCATTTACTTTATTTCCTGCATTTATTTGTTTATTGAAGTAACTTTTTAGTATACACTGCCAGGTATACGTCGAAATAATTATAGTAAAGCACGAGTCCGCTCACTTAGTTGATCTTCTCTCTAAATACGATATTTGTTTAAATATGAAGGCTCAATAGAACAAATTTTAAATTGTGTAATTGAAAACAAATGTTCCATATTTTTCTACAGCTACCCCCTTATGACCAACGATGGTCTCAACGATCCCAAAGAAAACTTAATGACCGAGATAGAAGAGGATGTACCAATGCCCAAGGTGAAAGGGTCGAAGATATACGTGAAGATATTGGGCAGAAATATGCAAGGTTAGTTCCAGGTATCTTCGTTGTTAGATAGTCTTGCTCCTTTTGCATTCATTTTCGTATTAGCTCTTGACAGTAAAATGTCATGGGGAATTCTTTCTAAAGTTTAAATCAGTTCCAAAGTCACGCTTGACAGGCGTATTTTGAATCAATAGACAGTTACTTTTAAATATATAATAATATAAAATATGTTAAAACTATTGGAGCGGAGCTCCCATAGCGCAAGAAAACGATTCTTTGCAATTTACATAATTTTTTCGGCAATATTTTTAGCTCAACGCAGACAAGGTTTATAAACATTAAGAATCTGAATTTGTCTAAAAGATATTAAAAAATAACCAAAAACTAAATTGTCTATGGGAAAATGCATGTAAAGCAAAAGCGCGCGCTTTTGTAATAATTATTGAGAAGAATTAATTCAAAATAATTGTAATGTGATTGAATCTTTTATTGAAATAAAGATAGTAATGACTTTAGATTTTTACTTCGCTCCGTTTATGATGCTGGCAAAAGGTTCTACCTTTTTTTTTCGTTCATCTTTTTTTTTAAAAAACGTTACCCCTACACTAGGATTTTCTCCTGTACCGCGGGGGCAGTTTACAAACATAAATTGCACAAGGACAAACACCCAGACCCGGAACGATTATTTGTAGGCTATACAAATACTGGTTCCGTGCGGGATTCGAACCCGCAACTCCCAGCGCAGCCACTCATTGCTCAGCCACTACGCCACGGAGTCGTCAAATACCTTTGCATCTGCAAGAAATAAAATCACTTGTCTTGCCTAGCTTGAAAACCAGATCCTTCTCCAACTAATTGAACTACTACTGTCACCATTAACACGGTAATATTATCTATACAGTATTGTAACTCGGCCGTATCTTTCAAATAAATGCCTACAACCGTGCGGTACGTAAACATATGATAGGGCTACCTGCCTCCAGCATTTTTACATTTGCCTACTTTGTGTTTCCATTTAGTTTTATGATTGTAAATATACTTTTTATATATAAACAAATAAAATAGGTACTTTGTGAATTGAATAGGAAGTGTTTAATAAAAATGCGTGTCGTTTTTTGATTGGTAGATTTAATTAAAAAACCATGTTAATGTTTGAATAACAAATCGGTTAAATAATTTTGCGACCGAAAAATATTTGCGCCTCGGCTGAGACTTACGAAATGCTTTATTATTAGATTTTTAAATATAAAAAATCCGCTTTCTAATATAAAGCTAAAAATAATATAAATTAAAAATTATTTTGGGAAACATGGACAACGTGCAGAAAAGGAATATCTTTTAATTGGTTATAGATACCTGCAGCTACTTTACAATTTATATGTTTATTTTTAAATGAAGTTCAGATTTATTATTTCTTTATTTCTATTCTATTATTTATTTCCTCCATTTTTTTATATATTTCACAAAATCATCACTGCGGCACAGTCTCGACTGTCTGCATGCCGAGCGCATGCCGAGATCGAGGCGCGTAGGCATAGCTCTCGCTTCGTCCGTTTGTATGAAGTTGGAATACTGTATAGATAATATTACCGTGCCATTAATCCCAACACCGCGACCCTAAAAACTAAACGAGCACCGTTAAGTGAACCCCACCCAGCCTACATACCTTTTTACACAACTTGCCACTCATTTAGCTGCTAACCATCTTCGTCTATTTCTTCTGATGCTGCCTCAGAGGTTAACGTAAACGTGTAAATATATAATTTCAACAACACTGTTCTAAATTTCAGGTGATCCCTTTATCAGGTTCTCCGGACCAATCAATCAGGAAACGGAAGTCAGGAATGGGAGATCGACGGTCATCTTTCCCGATTCGGGCAACGATTTAGAAAGAGCTGAAGAAGAGAACTCCAGGATATACAGCAGCAGACTCCAGTATAACGACAGCGAGGTGCTGCCGTACGGCCGGGCAGTTTCGCAGGTGATCATTTTACGAGTATCGCTTGTTATAAATAATTTTAAGGTTCATTTTAAAAATAAGGGTGACAAATGTACATACAGCCTACCTGATGGTAGGTAGATGCTGTGGCCTTAAGACATCTCTTACGACTAAGATGGAATGTCTTGTTTGCAGTAAAATAGGTCTTCAGTTCTCTACACCCACCACACGAAACACAGCAGTATTAAGCTGTTATTTTACGCTGGTATTCTGTGAGAGCGTGTGTCGACTCGACCGGGGTAGGACACCTCGGTTGTCGTGCCAAATTTCGTGCCAAAACCGTAACATAGCTGCAGCTTGGCACTACCAGGTGAAAAAAAGTTTTTATGCAAGGGCATTTGGTGTACCTATCAATTTTTTTTTTACTTATCGTTAGATACTAACTACAACCTAACCTGATGGTTTGTGGTGATTAAACCCTTGATGGTATTTCGCACTGTTTTAGCATAAAACATCGAATAGATATTAAAATGACATCAAATCGAAAAATGACTATTCTCTTTTCTCCTCATCAGCCCACTGCTAGATAAAGCCTGGTCCGTTGTATTAATATAGGCAGATCACAAACAGACGTGAGCTCGTCGCCGGTCTGGATTTTTAACGTATGGAGTAAAAGGGATGGTTATATAATTATTTTAAAGCCGATTTGTTGGTGATCTCTAGTTTCTACTATTTTATAATAAAGAAACAGTTTCATTAATACAGATAATTTAGTATGGGGCAAACCAGCATCCCTGTGTAGGAAATAACAAGTACGCCGGATAGATTACGGTTCTAGGTTTAAGCGACTGTTGCTATTTTAACACGTTTTTATAATATTTATCAACTCTTACTAAACAGTCCTTAGTACAAGAGACATTTCTTCAAGAAAAGAAAAAGAGAAAGAGAAAAAAAGAATAAAATGTCGCAAATAATTTTCGTTCTGCAATAACATTTGGGAATGCTTTATATAACAAACTCAAAAAGAGCCCTCTAAAGCCCCCCTCTATAAAAAAACTTTTTTTGGACATTAACAGGTCATGAACCAACGCGGTGTGATTCTGACAACGGTGCAAATTGGGCTGAGTACAAAACTGTATGGATCGCCGGGCGACAGTCTTCAGGTATGGAATATCTTTACATGATTTATATATAATAATGATAATAATGTCCTCCAGACCGCATTTCGGCCACGGCGGCCAGCCTCAACGGAGACTAGCCATCGGCGCAGGACAGGTTTATAGTACCCAAGTGTATGCGCAAGCACAGGTGCACTCTCTATTCCCTCACTCTCGTAATCCGATGGAACCGTAAACCGACACGACCGGAGAGAGATCAGGCGCACGACCAACGACTTTACGTGCTAACCGAGGCACGGGGGTGAGACACCGCCAACTTCCTGACTCCGAGCAACTACTGAGCATTTCATGACGGAAAAACTCAATAATTAATTTTTTGGCCCGACCCGGGATTCGAACCCAGGACCTCATGATCAGCAGTCGCACTACTGCAACCACTAGACCAACGAGGCAGTCATATATTTATATATATCTTTACATGAGTTACAGTCAGCACTCAGCAGTGGATTTTAATAGGCCATAATGGTAGCAGAATTACAATTATCATAATTCATTTGTTCATTTGAATTATCAGTGAGAATGTTAACATATTTAGGCATATTTTCTTCTACATTAACTTGAGATGTTTTTTAAGTAGGTATAATAATTATTATCTAGAGTCAAGTAAAAAAGGTAAGAAGAATAGTTGTCTTAGTACTGGCATAAGTATGTTGATTCTAGTAGTAATACTAGCAAACTATTATTATAGTTACAGATTATAATACAAGCAGAATTTTTTTTTTACCGACTCCTATTAAGCAGGAGGTGATTGAATCGACAGTATTTTGTTTGCTAAGCGTTATCTTCGCCGATGGTGGACGGTTTTTATGACTCCTCTTTATTGAATTAGACTATACCCAGAAATTGGTCATTTTATTATTTGAAAGTCGGTTTAAAGTTTAACCGTTCAAATTACGAAGCCCTTGTCCCTTGTCCTTGTTCACACTTATGGGTGACGAACAGTGTTGCCAACTTGACGGGTCAGCGATGTTGGCAACGGGAAAAAATTGTTTTTAACGGTTAACGGATTTTTTAACAGGGCAACTAAAATTTATCATAAATATGCATATATTTTGGTTTGTTCGTTATTCTCTTAAATTGAATTGTGAAAAATAAAACATGTCTGTCAAGAATCGATATCAAATCAATTCATTTTTAATATTTAGGGGGAATGAAAACTCGAAAATCCCTACTTAACGGGTTTTTGGCGGGATTATAGTGTTCTCTGCAACGGGAGCTAGATTTTAATGTTGGCAACACTGGTGACGAATCCGATGGAAGATGAACTTAATTCACAATTCTTCAGAGGGCTGATTTTTTATCCCATTAAATTCAGAAAGAAAGATTTTTTAAAGAATTCTTAGAATTCATTACTGAATTTGGAAAAGACACACAAAACTACCCGCAATTATGACGGGAGGCCTCTATTTAGGGAGAGAGGGATGTCGGTAGTAAATGCTCAAACGCGAATGAGGTACGACATAATTTTTGGCTGAACGTGTGACCGTGGTATCTAGAATAGATTAATCTAGCATAAATTAATATTTTCGATTAACGAACATTACGCTTCAAAAGTCACTGTTATAGGCCGAAACCTGTAGTACCAGTCTCTGCCTGTATCGATTGTGGAAACTTCGAAGTTTATAGCGTAGACTGAAACATAAAGACTTTATAGCGTAGGTATAAACACACTAATGGTACTAAAGTACTCGATACGTCGGAAATATAAAATAAGTTTTTTTTTATAGAATAAAGGTGGCAATCGAGCACACACCTTATTGTAAGTGGATGCTGTGACCCATAAACATCTACATCTAACCTCGATTAAGAATCAAAATGCAGATGCGTTGCCAGCCCTGAGGATTAAGATAGAATGCCTCGTTTCCAGTAAAAAGGGTCTCCGGTTCTCTACACTCACCATACGAAACACAGCAGCATTAAGCTAGTATTTGACGCTGGTATTCTGTGAGAGTGCTGCAACCATAATATAGCTACAGCATGGCTCATAAACGCAATAAAATCCGTAAAACCAAGTTTAATTCAAATGTGTAGGGTTTCCGTAAAAATCTCTAACATTATGTATTTATTTAACAAATAGTCACTTTTTACTTTTACCACTGGTAAGTAAAACCTCTGTCCTGGAAAAAACGAGCAAGAAACCCAGTGGGAATTTATATACATATTACTATTCCTTACAGCTGTACTTTGAAGTGACCAACTATCGCGAGCAAGCTGTTAGATTCAACTTCGGAGCTGTCGGAGAACTGAGGTTCCTCAGAAGCATCGAGCCAGTGTCGTAAGTAAAAAGTTTTTCACGTGGTGGAATCATTCTACAGCTATATTATAGTAGTAGCACGAATGTGTCGGCTCGATCGGGAAAAGACCTCGCTCTCAGAGAATACCTGAGAAAAAGCAACTTAATACTTCTATCTTCAATGAAGAATTAAAACGCAAATACGATGTTATCTTTGAGAACTAAGATAGAAGCAGCGTTTCCAGTAAAAAGGGTATCCGATTCTGTAGACTCACTTTATGAAACACATCATGAAGATAATTCACGCTGATATTCTCTGAGAGCGTGGTCCTCCCCCGGTTAAACCGACCCATTCGTGCTACAACTATAATATAGTGATATTTTACTGATAGATGAAGAAGAAGACATTTTCTTAATAGTACGAGTACATTATTAGAAATGACCAGATAAATGGCAATTCAATCCTCAATATCCTTTCCAGACAAACGATATCATCCGGGCAGACTGTGAACGTGATCGTGAATGTTTTGATAACGGCGACCGCTCAGCCCGGGGCTAGGGACCTCATCACCTTCACTGCCTACGGTAAAATGAACATCACATGCATCACCTTTAAGCTTCAAGCACATCACCTTTCTCAACTTCCTGGTAATAATTTCAACATCTGCTTCTAACAAAGAAGCATTTCGACGTTGAAAGTGGCTCAAAATAGTTCGTGTAAATACGCTCTGTTCTTTTCCAAACTTTGTTAATACACGGCCGCGTGTCTGATAGAATATTTATTTTTACCAGACTGTGCAACGTAAAGGAAGGTGATGTGTTTATCATCCTATATATGTGTTCGGTCTTTGTGTGTGGGCCCATTTTGACGATTCTTACATCAATCGATTTGTCTTAATGTTGCGAGTGTTACTGAAGACATGACAGTAACCAAAATTCAATATGGCGACAACCGGACGCCATATTGTGAGATAGGAATCATATTGTGAGATAGAAAAATATCAACGTCGATTAACTGACATAGTTAATCGACGTTAATATTCTTTTTCTTATAACGAGTTAAAGTTGGTTAGCAACCATTCTCAATTAAATTTTGAAACCTTATAGTCTTATTTTTATTATATCAAACTCTTAAGGCGATACCCCGACCAAACCTTACGATGTTACGTTTTTCATAGACTATCATCTCATTAGTTATGAGAAATAAACTACATTTAAAAGCACATTATTAATGTTCGATACCCTATAATCACATACATTTACGAGTAAAATAAAAAATGACTAAAATTATTGATTACATGCATCTGTTACTAAACGCAACTCTCTAATCATTTGAGGATTACACTAATGGATAGATAATTTAAAAATCTATATTCTTCACGTTTTATTTAATTTCTTAAGTTCGCTTTTCTTTTTTAATTGAGTCAATTCCAAAATTTGGGCGTATTTCTTACGCGATATATTGTATTATAGGACCGAACGCTCAAGGTCGTTCGCTAGGGGTAACACCTTAAGAGGAAATGCGGATGGTCTATTTTACATATAAACGCTCTTGCCTGTTACCTTCAGGTTTGTGATCTCATAGCAATGATTTTTACACTAAAATAAATATTTTCGTGTAAATTATTCTATGCCCCTATGTTTTCCGTTTTGATGACACATTATCTTTATAAGCACTAGAGCCCTTATGAAATGCTCAAAATTGCCTATTTAGACCGCCGTCAACAGAGCCCTAGTGTTCCCTCAAATTTGATAACAAATACTGAAAAAAGAAAAACGTAGCGACACAGTGCATATCCTTCTTATTTAGTTAATGAAATATTTTTTAATTTGGTCTAATATTGGAGTAGGAAATGGTGGGGAGTTAAACCTCGAATTATAACCTTTTTACTTAAACTATTCAGTCGGATCTGCAGTCGTCCTTATCGCACTCGCACTCGCAGAGCGACAGCGAGAATTCCTTCAAAGATCTAATTTTTAAAAGTCTCTCGGCCCGCAACTACTCTTGAGATCTTAATATCGTGAAAAACTGTTTATTCAGTTTTCAATTTAACTGTTTTACGTAGTCGGGTTGTTTTAATTAATGTTTAAATCATTAAACTTGTTATTAAACAAATATTACAAGACAATACTTGTCATGTCACTTTTGTTGTTGTTACTATGATCAACACTTGTTGACACAAAATCAAAAATTTTGTACAACCGACTTCAAAATAAATAAAATGAGAACTTCATCAATGTAGTCGAAGTCAATTAAATACGCATTATTAAGGATAACTCAAAAACTACTGGTCAGATCCTGATTAAATTTATATGGGACCACACGAGAAGCACCAGCTTGTGGCCGTGGAAGGAAAACGGGAGATCTCCCGCCGGGCAAGGTGTTGTACTGCCCAGGGAGCGGCCAACAGTCCACGTGATAGTTTGTAACTATTCTATATATACTGTTTTACCTCGGAACTTTGATAGCATAATTTAGGCTTTGATATGTTTCACTTGTGGTACGACGGCAGCGCCGCCACAAGCTTTCAAATAAAAAACGAATCATCAAAGTCGGATCACCTAGAAAAAAGGTTTTAAGATAACACACATAAAAAGACATACAGCCGATATTAGTACCACATTCTTTTTTAAGTCGGTTAAAAACTTTTTAATTCTTTAACTGAGAAGAGAATAAAGTGTAGCGGACTAATAATATACCAACTTGTAATGTCCAGGTCTAGAACAAGTATCAATCTCCGCATACGTCTACGTGATGAACCCGGGCGAGACCAAAGTGGACACCTGGGCTCCCGAGGTCCGTCACAACTTCCAGGGCTCCTGTATCGGAAGGATGGGCACCGATTGCTCTGAGCACGTCTGGTCAGTCACCATTGTGGCTAGAGATGCTGTCGCCGGTAAGAACTTAATGTCAATGGGACATTATCTATTTGTATAACAAGATACATAATTTATACGTAGTAGAGCCAGTTGCTATATTATGATCGTAGCACGAATGGGTCAACTCGACCGAGGAAGGACCAGGCTCTCACAGAATACCAGCGCAAAATAGCAATTCAATGCTGCTGTGTTTCGTATGATCTGTTTACTGGAAACGAGGCATTCCATCTTAGTCCTCAGAGGTGACAACGCATCTGCATTTTGATTCTTAATCGAGGATAGATGTAGATGTCTATGGGCCACAGCATCCACTTACCATCAGGTGGTTTGTGTGCTCGTTTGTCACCCTATCCTATTGTTGCGCGCCACAGTTGATGGCACTAGCGCCATCTGGTATCAAGTATCAGAAATAAGAGTATCAAAATCTTTCTGGAACTCTCCCAACAGCGCCATCTAGTAACGAATAGAAGAATCAAGCTTTCTAGAAAAGTCCACACGCGAACTTTCTGTACTTAGTCGGTCGGGACCGGTATTTGATGGAACATTATGGATGTTTCGGTTTTACTCCGACCGGGGCAGTATTTAATTTGGCGATACAAGCGAAGCTTCGGAGCGAAACAAAGTGAATCAGTGAGATTAATTATGAGTGTCTTTTAAATTTTAATTGGTGTTCGGTAATTAAAGTGTTAATTTTGGTAATTCAATCGGCAGTTTTTACTGTCACGAACCCCAAGCTCGTAACATTATAAAGAAAAATTGATTTGATTCGTATCAGGTCTCCTCCGTCTGTCGTCATCGCCGCTGGGGCTGACGTACGACAGCAACTTCGTGTCGGGCACGCGCGGGGAGGTGGTGGCCACGTACCGCGCGTCGTGCTGCGCGCCGCGCCTGCTCGTGTCCGCCGTGGACGCGCTCGGCAACACCAACAGCTACGTCGTCGACGTCTCCAGTAAGTATCATAAGCCCCCCCCCCCTCCCACACAAAACACACACACACACACACACACAACCTACTGATTCATACATAAACAATACTTGATAGAATCAGGCGTTACTTTGCGGAAATCCATTATAATAAAGATATTAATTAATTTGCAAACTTCCGCTAACTAATGTGTCTTACCTGGATTAAAGAGCACCTCCCGCCCTCCCTGAATTGCGTGCACCAATCCCGTCAACACTAATCCCAGCACCGCTAAGTGCGGTCAGCCGCCGTAGAGTCTACATCACCTGAAGAAGCCTCATGTAGAGGCGAAACACGTGTCGTATTGTCGTCGATGGTGTGTGTGTCCTTCCTGGAAAAGTGGTGTTGGAAGTGGTGGTGCCGGGAGTAGTGGTGATGGGATTAGTGCACGCAACTGAGGGAGAACGGGAGGTGCTCTTCAAACTAGGGAACACACATCATTGTATTTAGTTAGCGGAAGGTTGCAAATTAATTAATATCTTTACATAAATAATACATAAAACGCTCATACCTCTCACCCAGAGGTACTAGAGACTACGGACTTAAATTTGGTACGATCCTACACTCATCTCTCACCTCCTTTACATCCATATACCTACGCATACACTCTCGTCGGTTAACGGTACTGTTAATATGGCCAGTCTTCAATATATCACCAATTTGGTCGATAAACTTTCTTCTAGGGCATCCCTTCAGTTCTCTGCCGTTAACTTCTGCAACATATTGTTTGACACTCTTTCCTCATTCATTCTTTCTACATGACCAAACCACCGAAGCATTCCTTTCTTAATTCTGGTCACAACAAAATCACACTTTTCTCATATCACACAATTTCTTCAGTCACTCAGATTCAGCCCTAACATACTCCTTAATAACCGCATTTCTACGGCATTTATTCTACTCTCGTACTTCTTTTGCCACTCAACTTTCAATACCAACCTACTGAATAACATGAAACCTATATCTTTTGCAAAAGAGAACCGTACGGGCGACTTATAATTTAAATTGTAAAGACTCCCTTAGAGAATAAAATTAAGTAAATAAACAGATTAACTCTGACACCGTAATGTATTTATCAAAATGTAATGTATGTACATAAAAACATGAATAGCTTAAGTAAGATTAAAGATTTTCGAACTTGAATATAAGGACCACAAACATAATCTTATAATGCCAGCTACGAGACTCCAGAGAATTAGTAATTCATTTTTGTGGAAATGTATACGCTTTTACAACAAAATCCCAGAAAATCTTTAAAGATTGTCAAATATTTTTAGGTTAAGGTATATATTGCTAGGGCAATGTTCTTAATTAATCCTTCCTAAAATTTAATTTATTAATAAACACGTTTAAAAGATTTATTAAAGAAAAATTAAACAAACAGGATAATTACAGTATCAAGGAATACATGAAAGAAAATAAGTCCAGGGAATGAGATGAACGCCACCATGCTGGTCCTATTAAAATTTAAAAAAAATCCCGCTGGATTTCTTAGTTTCTTCCTAGAATTGAGGTATTTTCCAAGCCAGTGGAAAATAAAAAGTGACTTTCAATAAGTATTATGTAATACTCTATATTGAAAAAATCATTCTATTTTATTCTATTATATTCTACAAGCTGGAGGGACTTCGAGACACGAGAGTCATCGGCAACTAAGTATAGAAGCCAAAATCATTTAAGATTAAAAATCTGCTACAGAGATGAAACAATGTGGGAGGGGTGGGGGGGGCGCGGCTGTTAGGCTGAAATAATTTGTAGTCGAAGTGTGGTAAAGAGGTTGAATACTAAATCAATCTTCTTTGTCTTTTTAAATGCCCTTATCCCAATACAGAAGTGATGTAAAAATAAAAATAATATTTTCGACTTAAGAGAAAATGAAAAATAATTATACCAATTAAAAGTTCGAATCGAAAGTCGAATTCATTAGATTTTAAGTTTGAATATTAAGCAAGCTGTATTTTTTACAGCATTGGGTGACAAACGAGCACGCAGTCCACCTGATGGTAAGTGAATGCTGTGGCAAACAGACATCCACATTTATCATCAATTAAGGATCAAAATTCAAATGCGTTGTCACCCTTGAGGACTAAGATGGAATGCCTCGTTTCCAGCAAAAAGTGTCTCCGGTTCTCCACACTCACCATACGAAACACAGAAGCATCTAGCTGCATTTTATATACAACTGCACATTAAAATACAAATATCCCGTATACAAAAGGTAAACTTTTGAAATAGGAAATAAAATTAAATGATGTGACAAGCTATTGAAAATCTTAAATGTTCAACAACAAAAAATTACAAAAGGAACATTCAAAACTACACAAAATTAAGTAATAATTATTTGTTGGCAACATTTTAATATTCTTTGGTGACAAAATCTACTCTGTGAGACTGTTTGACTACAAACTTATATGTATAATTGACATTGGCAGTATGTAATTTAGTTTAATGTGTTTGTAGCACATATTATTATTTATAAATTTTATCTCTCTGCACTACTACACCCTATAACTTTAACTATGACAAATCTGACATTACTCCGTAGTACGCCATAGGTACGCCTTCACAATTTTTTTTACTTTAATTTTGGTATTTAAATTTTTTTTTAATTTTTAGGTTACATATCGAATGCAGGGATAGCCGCAATAGTGTTGGGAATCCTCCTATTTATTGCTCTGGTAGCTCTCATTACATTCCTGATATACTGGTGTGTCAAACGCAGAAGATCTTCAAAAGAATTCTCTTCATACAACACATCGTCAAGAAACATTAGCTAAGTGTCAGACCGACAACACCATCTTAAATTGTATTAAATATTTTAATTTATTAACGTGATATTGTCTTAACGATAAGAAAAATGTATGAAAAGTGAAAAAAGTATAACACTTTATAAGTATGTAATATAAGAAAATGAAAAATATATACTGGCAAAATTTTCCAAACTGAGAATGCCATATAAAATATAGTTTCAATTGATAATCATCAATTCCAAATTCAAAAATTCAAAATAAAGCACAAAGACATTAGCATGGTAGGTTATAAATTATTATTTAAAGTTTAATTAGTCACTAATGTACTAATATACGTAAATGTTTAGTCGTAAATTATTTTATATTACAAATTAAAAAAATAAGGGACCCGCGAACCGTTTATAAATTTTCGAAGTTGCCAGTCAAATAAAGATGGAGAAACATGAATTGAAATTGAAATGTATTAAAGAAAAATCGTTGTTTCCATGGTAATGAACAATAAATTCGTTTTTTAATTTAACTATCTATTATATTCTCATAATAAAAATCTTTTAAACTGGAGAGAAAATTGTGAAAGAAACTCGTCATTTACTTTATCTTTTATGTTTTTCCATGTTTATGTTACGTATTCTATATCTATACCAAAAATTGGACTAGACAATGGCAATCACATAGTGGCCATATTTGCTCCAATGTAATGTGTTGGCGCAAATATAACAATATGTGAATCAAATCAGTCAAATGTCAATCAAATGGCGAATCGAGTTGAGATTTCAAAACATTCCTTCCATGTATAGTATTTAATTTAAAATAAATTTATTAAGTATTTTAATTTTATTAAGAATAAATTAATTGTTATATTAAGATGTTAATATAAAGCAGTTAAAATATGGGAGCAAACAAGAAACGAAAATAGCAATAGCATAGCAATTTCAATCTTTAAAATAACCGTACTTTTGAATATCTGCATTTTAATGGTTTATAATTTATTTAATAGGAAGGTTAAAATTATTGCTAATATTAATCATACTGCGTTTATAGGACGGAAGTGCTTCAAGTCCCTCATTACAATATTCAGTAAACAAATTGTCAAACATAAAGGTAAATAGCGTCAAAATTGCTCAATTGTTTGTTGTTTGGTTCCGTTTAAGACAAATTCTCCCTACAATGGGAGAGGCCCATGTCTAGCTGTGGACATTTATGTGCTAATGATAAAAATAAATAAAAGAAATAGGCAAGTTCAGATATAGTACCGCAGCATTCAAACGGCCTGTCAAGTGTTGCAATTATGGAAAATCTTCCCTACTCTGGGGAGGATACACTATAACTTTCGTAAATAATACTTTATGCGGTCATAAAAACCGCATCTAATCACAGTTTACGTATTTTTACTTAAAACAAATACACATTTTTTACAAATAAATATGTTGACCGAAAGGAATTATGAAATTGTATATTTCTTGCCGTTGAAAGAATATTTAAAAAGAATTCAAAGTTTGGCTCGAAGGACCAATTTCAGTAACATTTAAGTTAGCCTTCTTAGCAAAACAGCCACGCGTATTCTTGTTTATATTAGTTTCTTATTATATTGTACCTGCGCAGAGAGAGTTACACCACTGTTTTTTGTTATATATTTCTATTGATCTACTCACGTCGCCAGATCACAATCAATTACAAATTTTTTTTAATTTAAATATACCTTATTTCTATTTTTATTTCCCTTTATATTTTCTATAGGATTACACACTAAAATTTTCTACTGTATCCTGGAGGCAGTTTACATACATAACTTGCACAAGGACAAAATTCTAGCCATACAAATACTTATTCCATGAGGGATTAGCACCCGCGGCCCTCAACGTCGCAACTCAATCTTAAGCCACTTCACTACGGAGCCGTTATTATAATTATTATGAAAAACATGCTGTACATTTAATAAATGAAATGAGAATTACATAACAGTTATGGGCATATTATTTGAAAACGCACTAAATTCTACACCATGGTTAATAGCTTAATTGTTGGTATTGATGAATTAATGGAAATATTAACCAAAGGAATTTTCAACCATTTTCTTATTTCTCTAAATAAATACAGACAACATCTCTTAAATGCGGTTAATATTTCTTAAATTTATACGGGTAGTTATAACTTATAACAGTTAAGTTGTTTAAATTTATTTAGTGGTAAGCACCGAGCCATAAATGATTTTTGTAAAATTATTTTAATAAATATTTAACTTCTTTTTGTTTTTATATCCTTTCCCGATTAACTAGACCACCTATTTAAAAAAAACTTCACTAGGAACTTCTATATCTTGGAGGTATTTTACATATATAACATAACATATAAGTCACATATTAACAAAGATCCAAACACAAAAAACAATATTTTTGAGCCATACTATATTTCCCTTCAGAACATCAAAAAGGCTATGGATCCCTTTTGCTAGGCGAAAGTTTCCACATACTTTGGTACTGTTGAAAGTGATTTCGTATGAGACCTATATTCTAGGTTGGTACCGATAATACGCTGTGATATAAAATAGAAAATAATGTTAAAACTAGTGTTAAAATGTTTACTTGCGCCATTAAAATAATATGTACTTACATACTAGAACAGCTATCTCAAACAAAATGTATTGGCGCGGTTGGTTTTTTTGTCATAGAATAAACATAGGTAGAATGATCCGTAGGTAATACTAGATTGTATTGTTAAATAGGTAAATTATATCGAGAACAATATTTAAATTTTGTCATTTATTTTGTATATTATATTTGCTTATTTAATATAATATTACATAATATTATATCACAATTACATTTTTAATGATATTTTTATCTGAATATTTTAAAAGGTATCTATGTCAAATATAAAAAACATACTAAATGTATGTTTAACAAAACTTATTAACATAACATTTAAATTACAAATATATTTATTTAAATTAGAATAAGAGTCGCTAAATGCTGGGCACGCGAGAGTTAAATATGGACGAATTTATTCCACTTTGACTTTAACACGTGGTAGAGCCATGCTGCAGTTATATTAGTAGTATAGCTGTAGCACGAATGGGTCGGCTCGACCGGGGAAGGACCACGCTCTCACAGAATACCAGCGTGAAATAGTAGCTTAATGCTGCTGTATTTCGTATGGTGAGTGTAGAGAACCGGAGACCCTTTTTACTGGAAACGAGGCATTCCATCTTAGTCCTCACGGGTGACAACGCATCTGCATTTTGATTTGTAATCAAGGATAGATGTAGATGTCTATGGGCCACAGCAACCACTTACCATCAGGTGGACTGTGTGCTCGTTTGTCACCCTAGCCTATAAAAAAAATGTGGAAACCTAAAAATAAAATAAAAGAATAATAAGCAGATTTAAATATGAAAAATTTAGCCTAATTATAATAACTTATATATGTTTCTACAAAAAAAATGTGTATAATAATATATTCATCCTATACTTAAGTACCCACAGAAATGTCGCATCGGACCATATTAATTTCATAATCTATATTTCATGACACGAGATGGCGTCTTAGGAATAATTTGTTTTATTATTAATCTATAATACTTTTTATTGATTAAGTATCTTACTAACCGATGAAAAGTAATTCCTTGGTTTTTACTGACATTTATTTAATTATTTGTGCAATATCTAAGTACACACGTCGGCATATTTTTATCAAGAGATTTTTTTTAAAATCAACACAACACGTGACACCTCTACAGCGCCTAGCGATTGACTGATTAAAGTGCGGTGTATGCACCGCAGTTGAGTGGAACATAGTAGCTGAATGCATTGTCGTCTCTAGTAGGTAGTACATAATAGCTCAATGACTTGCGCCAATAAATTGTGTAGAAATATAAATATGATTAAGAAATAAAGGAAGAAAATTTCTCGAATGGCAGCCTCGTACCGGTAGACGAAGTGAGCGGTGACCCCCCACTAGATGGAATTATCTCACGAACGAAATCCGTCTAATTTATTGGGTTAAAGCAAACGCTTATTTCTGGAAGGTGAGGTAAAATTTTGCTTATAGCACGTCAAACTATTTCAATTTATTTAAAGTTCAGATGTCACAGTTAAACGCGATTACCGTAGATTAAAATTATTAATTTTTATCTTTCTTATTATTACTATATATTTTATTTCAATTTGATTTGAGAAAAAAACGTAACTGTCAAGTGTCAGCTAAGGTTCGAAGATATTTTTAGTAAATCCATCTGATGGTATATAAGTGGATGCGTTGAACCATAGGTATCTAAATATACAAGCGTTGTTACGCCTGAGGAACTAGAATGGCTCGTTTCCAGTTGAAATGTAAAAATGGGCTCCGCTTCTCTACACTCACCATACGAAACAGAGCAGCATTAAGTTGTTATTTTACGCTGGTATTCGGTGAGAGCGTCATCCTTCCCGGCCCAGGCGTACCATTCGTGCTACAACCAGTTTTTTATAAGATAGGGTGACAAACGAGCACACAGTCCACCTGATGGTAAGTGATTGCTGTGCCCCATAGACATCTACATCTATCCTAGATTACGAATCAATATGCAAATGCGTTGTCACCCACGAGGACCAAGATGGAATTCCTCGTTTCCAGTAAATGGGTCGCCGGTTCTCTACACGCACCATACGAAACACAGCAGCGTTAAGCTACCATTTCACGGTGGTATTCTGTGAGAGCGTGGTCCTTCCACGGTGGAGCCGACCCATTCGTGCTACAACCATAATATAGCTGCAGCGTGGCTCTACCACGTCTAAAACCATAATATAGCATGGCTTTACCACGAAAATAAATGTTTTTCTAATGATCGTTAATTTAGATATTTGAAAGACATAATAACCCCGAGCATTCACATATTTATTTCTGGTCGGTCACCTAATTTAAATCTCTTGGTGTATCTCATGTTATGAGTGAGGGTAGAAAATAAATAAGTATTAAAGATGACGGTAGAAAATAAAGAGACAAACGGAAGTGAGGGTAGATCTTGAAACCCTACTTGTTCGAGCAGTATA